GCTGTTTTGGGGGAGTTTGGCTCTTCCCTTTTCCTCCCTGCTGCTGTCTGGCAGCACCTGGAACTCTGGATCCTGGTTGTCTTGTCCTCTGGCGGGTCTGGATGCTGAAACATCCTGGAAAAGCGAAGGGAAAGCCCCGTGTTGGCTCTTGGTGTGTGCTGTGTCGGGGTACCATCACCTGCAGAACATTCCTCAGCCCATTACTGGAATATTCCCGAGGATGAGACCAGAGAAATGCTCTGTCCAGGCACATCAGTGGTTCCTCCAGCCTGGTACTTTGGCTCCAGTTTGTCTCCTACAAAATCTAGGAGAGGGGATCCAGGGGATCTTCTGAATTTCCCTGGTGCCTGCCGTGCTTGAGTTTGGGATGTCAGAGGACACCTCCCATCCAGCTCCCTTCAGCCCTGTTTCCTGGGAATACATTAAATTCCTTTTCCTGAACCTGCTGATGCTGTTGAGCCTCATATCCTGCCCCCAAGTCCGGGAGTTCCCTCCCTCAGGTGTAAATACTCCCTCCTTTTTTGAGCTGATCCTTTGGCTTCAACAGGTGCCCCTTGCTCTCCCAGAGCACAACGTCGTGAAAAACTACTTTACATTTCCATTATTCATCTGTTTTTTTTTTCATTCCTGCAGTCATTTCATGGCTCCTTTCGGAGAGTCTTGGTGTTCAAATATCTGAGAGAGCAGCTGCTTCGTCCCCTCTCTTGGTTTCCTTGCCCTTTGAAGGATGAGAGAAGCCAGACCAGAGCTGTGCGCTGCCATTCTATCATTCCAGGAGGAATTAGCCTGTGGGATCTCAAGGATTTCTGATTTCCAGCTGCACTGGCTTTGTCCTTCTGCCCTGGGTGGTGGTTTTTAAGCTGCAGGACCTGTTGTGACCCCCCTCTCTCTCTCTTTTCATAAACAGCTCTGCTTCCCCAGGCAAATGTCAAGTTTTAAAACACCTAGTGTTTCTAGCAAAATAAATATATTTTCCCTGTAGAAGGCAAGTCAAATTCAAATACAAGGACAAACCCAACTGGGCAGCATGATAGGAATCTGCTTAAAATTGTTGGGAAGCCAGAGGTGGGTTGGAATTTGCTGGGGCACTGGAGAAGGCTCATGGCATCCTCTGACGTGATGTAACAAACTGCTGATACTGCAGAGGATTCTTTGGCAAATCGAGAACTTTTCAACTGAATTTTATTTGATTGAAAGCGAAAACTTTTCCAGTCTGTGGTGTGGGCCAGTTGGGTTGTGTGCAGCAGTGCAGGCTTCTCCTGGAATGCGTCCTGAGGGTGGAGAGGGTCGATGTTCCCGTGAACTGCTGAGACAAGCAATCCTGTGCAGCTCCGAACCCAACCCATCTGTCAGCTCCTGAAGAGGATATTCCTTTGTGGAGATCATCCTTCTGGCACAAATAAGCAGTTCTTCCCAAAGAAAGTGCATTCATCTGCAAGAGCTCTTAACAAAGAATTATTATTATTATTCTAGAATCATGGAATGGTTTGGAAAACACCTTAAGGTCATGTAGTTCCAACCCCCTGTCACAAGCAGGGAGCCTTGCACCGGATTTGGCATTTTCTGAGCAACCTGGTGTAGTGTTTTAGTTTTCAGGTCCTCCTTGCATGATATTCAAGTGCTTTGGCTACAACACAATTTAAAAAAAAAAAAAATTTTTTTGAGTCTTTTGGATCTGAAACAATGGCCTTTCTAGTATTGCACTCTTTCAGCGTAGGATACACACCATCTTAACACGTCTGAGTCCAGAGGCGAAACTCCAGTGCTTTAAATGAAATAAATCTCCGTGTTTTCATGTTCTACGGGGTGTGTTTTTAAAGGCCTCTCACTTCCAACAAGTAGATGCTCTGGATTTCCTTGAAAGTTGTGATTGCTGCATGATGTTCAGGCAGATGGCTCAGAACAGTCTGCATGCAGTGATTTTATTTTATTATTTTTTTTTTTTAATAGCTTTTGCTTGTTTCCTCCTCCTAACTCCTTTATGACGGTAAATTCTTCATTCAGAAGTTGTCAGGAGAGCTCCAAAATCCCCCCCTGCTGGTCCTTAAGGTTGTGATACACCAGTGTTCAGGTCATAACGGCTGCAACTCGTCCTAAATGGGTTTTCTCCTTTTTCCCCCGTGAATTCCACAGTTTCCAGTGTTTGCTTTGCTGATTTAAAGCAGAAACCTGTGTGGGCCACTGCTGCCCTTCTGAGGATAAACAGGAATATTCAGGATCTCTCCTTTGAGGATGTTTCTCCTGGGGCTTTCTGGTTGTACCGTGGGGACATTCCAGGTGTGGATCTGGTGCTGGGATGGGGCTCAAGGAGGGTGTTGGGGGTGAAAAGAGAGAGAGGGAGAAAGAGAAGATTGAGTTGATTTTTGAGTAGAAATTTGGGATGGCATCCAGAAGACTTCGGGGCAGTTTTGCCGAGTTTTCAGCAGTTTTGTTGGACTCTCAAACTTCATTGATTTAAATAGAAATACAATTAAAAAATATAATAAGATAATGTTACCCAGAGGTTAAAAACAATGGGGGGGGGGATAAGGGCCCATCACACCTTCCACTATCCCAGGTTGCTCCAACCTGGCCTGGGACACTCCCAGGGATCCAGGGGCAGCCACAGCTTCTCTGGGAAATCCAATCCAGCTCCTCCCCACCCTCCCAACCAGCAATTCCTTCCCAATCTCCCATCTAAATGACAGTGGGAAGCCATTCCCTGTGTCCTGTCCCTCCATCCCTTGTCCCCAGTCCCTCTCCAGCTCTCCTGGAGCCCCTTTAGGCCCTGCCAGGGGCTCTCAGGTCTCCCTGGACCCTTCTCTTCTCCAGGATGAACATTCCCAGCTGTCCCAGCCTGGCTCCAGCCCTGGGAGCGGCTCCAGGGCCTCCTCTGGACTCTTTCCAACAGCCCAACATCTTTCCTGTACTGGTGTGTGTTTGTAAATGGGTGGATTCTTGGAAAGCAGGGATAGGATTGCACTGGATTTCTGTGTCCTTTGTGTCCCCTGGGCAGGGGAGTTGCTAAAACCCTTGCACTGATCCCCGAGTCCAAAGTTAGAATTTCTTCCTTATAACTCCTTATAAATAACAGATGAGGAGATATTTCACCCCTCACACTGGGCCTGTGTTAATGGCTCCGTGGCAATATGATAACTAATAGACAACTTTCCCTTTTCAGAAATCCAGGAGCAGCCAACAGAGCTCTGAAGGATCTGAAAAAGTGGCAGAGCAATAAACCACAATATTTATGTGGTTTATTTTCTTGCAGGGCATCGGTCTCTGCTGACCCCCAGACGGGCACATTTACCAGAATAAACATCACTAAATTTCATTACAAATAATGTAGCCTAAGACTTAGTTTACTGGTCGTTTTTTAGCAGTTTTCTACCTTTTTTTTTGTTTTGTTCAGGATTTCAATAGACAGGGATTTCAATGAGGTGAATGGTTTCTCTATCTGTGAACTGGACTGAGAAAGAGACACAACATTCCAAAAAAAAAACAGTCAAAGCCTTCCAGAAGCGTTGAAATCAAAGAAAAATTGCCTGAAATCCAAGTAAAATTCTCTAGGCAATTCCAGTATGGAAAGGTAGAGAGCAGTTCCTTCAATTAAGGCTTTAAGGTGTATGAAATACACCCTGAATTGGGTGGGTGGTCTTACAGGAACTCTCCTTCCTCCAAACTTCATCTTCCTCATGATGTTCTGTCCTGCTCGGAGCTATTTCAAGGATTCTGGGCCTTCTGAATGGTTTTTGATTAAAATGATATCAAACAGTGTGCCTGTTACATCTTGGTTTTGGACACTCTCTCCAGGCTAAATCTTCTTGAACTTGTTAAAAGTCTCCACCTGATGAAATCCCTGATGAGGAACATTAAACAATGTTTATAGAATTCAGTACAAGAGGTATTTTGCTAAGAGTTCTATCCTAAAAGTGCTAAAAATGTATAGTTTATTGGATTCTGAGGCATCGGTGCCAGAGGGTGTGATAGTGTGTCAGAGGAGATGGGGAGAAAGAAGATGAAGAGAGTGGTCTTGGAGACCTCCAGCTCAAATTTGGGAGGTGTGTCAGGGGTGAGGTGAGGGTGGTACTGTGGGAGGGATGGTTTTGGACCTGGAGCTGCATCCAGCTGGGATCCGGTCGCCAGGGGTGTCCCCAGGGATCAGGGCTGGGCCCAGTCCTGTTTAATCTTTACTGCTGGTCTGGATGAGGGGATGGATCCACCATCAGCAGATCTGCAGGTGACCCCAAGCTGGGGGCAGTGTTGATGTGCTGGAAGGCAGGAGGGCTCTGCAGAGGGACCTGGCCGGGCTGGATCCATGGGCTGATCCCAACGGGATGAGGTTCCCCAAGGCCCTTGGGCCACAACAACCCCCTGAGGCTCCAGGCTGGGCCAGAGGGGCTGGAGAGCAGCCAGGCAGGAAGGGAGCTGGGAGTTGGGATGGCCAGGAAGCTGAACAGGAGCCAGAGGGTGCCCAGGGGGCCCAGAAGGCCGATGGATCCTGGCCTGGAACAGGAGCAGGAGCAGGGATTGTCCAGGGAAGAGCAGCGAGGCTGGGGAAGGGACTGGAGCACAAGTGCTGTGAGGAGAGGCTGAGGGAGCTGGGGGGGCTCAGCCTGGACAGGAGGAGGCTCAGGGGAGACTCAGCACTCTCTGCAGCTCCTGCCAGGAGGGGGGAGCCGGGGGCTCAGGCTCTGCTCCCAGGCAATCAGCAGCAGGACAAGAGGGCTCGGCTTTGAGCTGTGCCAGGGGAGGTTTAGGTTGGATATTAGGAAGGAATTTTGTCCCTGGAGAGTGCTCAGCCCTTGGAATGGGCTGCCCAGGGGAGGGGGTGGATTCCCCATCCCTGGAGGTGTCTAAGGACAGGCTGGATGTGGCATCAGTGCCATGGGCTGGGTGACAGGGTGGGGTTGGATCACGGGTTGGACTGGATGATCTCGGAGGGCTTTCCCAGCCTGGTTGATTCTGTGGTTCTGTGGCTTTTACAGCATCAATAACTCGTGCAATCCTCGTGCCCTCAGGACTTTATCCACCAGTGACGATGTGGAGGACAGGGAGACCGAGAAGGGCCGGCTGGAGGAGGCCTACGAGAAGTGTGACCGGGACCTGGACGAGCTGATCGTGCAGCACTACACGGAGCTCACCACGGCCATCCGCACCTACCAGAGCATCACCGAGCGCATCACCAGCTCCCGAAACAAGATCAAACAGGTACGGGGGGCACCTGGGCCTGGCAGCACCTCCCCAGGGGGTGTCCTGGGGGAAAATCCCTGCAGGTTATCATTCCTGGAGTGGATTGTTAGAAACTGCTGGCTTAACCTCTTCTCCCTCTGGTTTTCCAGGCTCTTGTCATCGCTCTGAACTGAGTTAAAATTGAATTGAGAAAGTGCTGTTACCCACTAATCACCCACTGTTACCCACTGAATACCCACTGTTATCCACTAAATACCTACTGTTACCCCCTAATCACCCACTAAATACCCACTGTTACCCATTAATTACCCGCTGTTACCCATTACTTACCCACTGTTATCCACTAATCACCCACTGAATACCCAGTTACTCACTAAATACCCATTGTTAGCCATTAATTACCCAATAAATACCCCCTGTTACCTACTAATTACCTGCCAAAATGCCCACAGTTACTCACTAACCACCCACTAACTGCCCACTGTTACCCACTGGAGTCCCACCCGGGGTGCTGTGTTTGGCTCTGGGGTCCCCAACACAAGAAAAACCTGTTGGAACAGAGTCCAGAGGAGGCCCCAGAGCTGCTCCCAGGGCTGGATTCCTCTGCTCTGGAGCCAGGATGGGAGAGCTGGGAATGTTCATCCTAGAGAAGGGAAGGATCCAGGGAGACCTGAGAGCCCCTTGCAGGGCCTAAAGGGGCTCCAGGAGAGCTGGAGAGGGACTGGGGACAAGGCCTGGAGGGACAGGACACAGGGAATGGCTTCCCAGTGCCAGAGGGCAGGGACAGATGGGAGATTGGGAAGGAATTGCTGGCTGAGAGGATGAGGAGGGGCTGGACTGGATTTCCCAGAGAAGCTGTGGCTGCCCCTGGATCCCTGGGAGTGTCCCAGGCCAGGTTGGGCTAGTGGAAGGTGTCCCTGCCCATTCCACAGGTGTCACTGGATGGTCTTTCAACTCCCTTCCAACCCAAACATTTCCATGAATCTAATTCTGAGCTGGGCCTGATTCCAGGTCCCTCTGGCCTGTCTCAGCCATCCAATCCTAATTCCTGTGTCCCAGGCTGTGCCGTTTTCGCCCCACGTTTCCTGCGGGCTCTTTCAAGCCCAGTAGCAGTACTTAAAAAGCAGACGTAGAGGTGGGAGTGAAGTGCAAAGCTTTGTGTTGCCCCAGTTCATTTATTGTCTGGGCATGTTTCCCTCAGGTGTTTGAAGTCCTGAGGGCTGCTGAGCTCACACCTTGCCGTCTAATCTGGTCCCGTTTTGATCCGTCGGCCTCCAGCCGCCTCCTGAGCAGCCTGGCTGATTCATCAGCCTGCTTTTCGCTCCCAGAATACGAATTTCGGTGCTATTTCCGAGCTCAGCCGTGCTGTGTGAGTGCACATGAACCCCGTGGCCCTGGATCTTTCTGCATTTTGAGTGCTCACACTTCAGTGCTGTGCCAATAAATAACTGTGGCACTCGTGGCTGGGGGGACTTGTTTGAGCTGCTCTCTCCCCTGCAGCACCAGGTTAGTTCTTTGGTCTTCCTCTGTAATTTGCTGCCCCTAAACTTTGCAAATTAGGCACCAAATTTATTTTTATTTTAATTTTTTTTTTTATTTTTTCCTGGCTCTGTGGAACTCCCAGCTCCAAACCAGCTTTAGGAGCAGCAGACATTTACCCTGACTGACCCTTCTGGTTTTCTAAAATTCATTTAGCATTTCCAAAGATAATGAGACCGTTCTGAAGCTTTCCAAGGGTAAGAGTTCACTGTAGGATTTATGGGCAATGATCAGCGCTCTGAAAGCAGAGATCAATTGCGCTAAATTTGAAATCAGCTGCAGCCAGTGGCCCATTTTCAGACGGTGCAGGAAGCTCGGCAGAGGTCAAAACAAACCTGAGAGCGGTGTGACCTTTTGGTCCCGCCTCGAAGGACGACTGGGAGGGTGAAGGACCTTTTGATATTTAAGTTTTCTTATTAGTTTTGGTCAATATGTATTGGAGTTTGTTTCTGACCTGATCTCAGAGGAGGCCCCGGCTCTGGTTTGTCATCAATCTGTGTTACGCCCCCAGAGTTGGCTCTGATGTTCCCCTCTGAAGGTGGATGTTTATTTGCATTAGGAGTTGTACAAGTGATGGACAAGTCTGGATCCCTCTGAGTATCTGCCTTTTGTAGTCAGTTCCTGCTGGGAGAGGTGCAGTTCCCAGCGTAGCTACAAGAGGTGTTGCCACTGTAAGACTGAATTATAAAGCAGAACCAGTTTTGGGCTGCCAAGGGCGGGGGGAAGTTCCTTCTTAAAGGCTTGCTCTCCATTCCTCCCCCTGCTCCCAAATGTGGGTGTAGTTGATCATCTGCCTTGCAAGGGCAGGAGCAGGAGTGTCTTGTGAGATTCCTCCTGGCCCCAGGATTGTTTTGCTGACCTACTTTGGCTCCTGTCACTGCAGTCCGTGGTGATGGTGTGCCAGGTCAGTGAGACACTTTAAATTAATGTATTGAACAGGGATTCAATCTGAAATGAACTCAGGGTGTGCTTTAGTTCCTCTCTGCTTTTATGACCCTCTCAGATTAGGTTTCCTGTTGGCTGAGGGTTTTTCCACGTTCCTCTTCTCAGAAGGACATTTTGGACTGCAGGATTGAAATCTCAGTCTCTCCTGCCTCTGGACAGAGGCTGTTTAATGGGACTATTTTTACCTAAAGGTGTCTGTATTTTGGTCCATGAGTGTGCTTTACATGTTGGGGTTTTCTTTAAACATCCTTTAGGTGAACGAGGCAGGAGAAGGTGCAGCTGAAGCGGGATTTGTAGAGAGCTTTAAAGGCTCATTATTTAAAAATAAATTGAAGGGCTCCTTCTGAGAGTCTCTCTTCATGTGTAATTCAGTGAGAGTTCAGCCTGAGAAAGGGTTGGACCCCAAGTATTCATAACTTATCACGAAAACAAGAGTGGTGTGAAGGCAATGTGTGAAGCTGTGCTGCTAATTGCTTCCACATTTTAATAGGGATTGTTGATTTGCATTCAGCAGGAAAAGAGAGGTTACACTGACCTTACCAGAGGAGACTGGGAGAACCTGAAAGCAGGGAATGCGGGCTGGGGGTGTGAACAGAAAGAGGAGAGGAGAAAAAAAACCCCCTTGATGTTGCCTAAATGGGGTGAAATAACAGAGACTTGGCCACTTAGAGAGGAGGCTCCAAACCAAACTGAATGGCAAACACCAAAGGGTTTCTCCAGGTGATGTAATGGCCTTGATAAATAAATGAAGGGTTGCATTGAACTCCCCCTTAAGTGTTCTGATAAAACATTTTCTGTATCTCTTCCCCCACATAATTTGGTGCTGCCCAGGGTATCAGGGAAATGGTTGTACTTTCAACGAGTTGTGTTCCAAGGAGTGGACACCGAAGCTGAGGAAAGCAGGAGAGGTGCCAGAACGTTTTAATAGGCAGATGGAAAATGTTCAGAGCAGGGAAATCAGCAGGGGGCTTATTTGCTTCCACTGGAAATCGGCTTCCTGCTGAACTGCCACAATCCTGAATGGATTTTTTGGAAACCTGCACCCCCAGGATTTGGTCCTGATTGAGAGAGGGTGGGTGTTTGGTCATGTTGTGGCCCTTCAGTTAAATTGTCTAAATTGTCCTAAAAAGCACTTCACTGTGCAGGAAGTTCCAGTTTGTGGGTTCTGTGCAGTTCCCTTCCCTTCAGCAGGAGGAGTAACCAGAGGTCGAGGACCTTGGATCTGGTTACAGCCTTCTGGAATTCCTGCTGAAGTAAATGTGGGAAAGGGCTGGTCTGAGTCGCAGGCCCGGTTTGAACGGACTCTTTGCCGTGTCGCTGCAGGTGAAGGAGAACCTGCTGTCCTGTAAGATGCTGCTGCACTGCAAGAGGGACGAGCTGCGCAAGCTGTGGATCGAGGGCATCGAGCACAAGCACGTCCTGAACCTGCTGGACGAGATCGAGAACATCAAGCAGGTCCCTCAGAAGCTGGAGCAGTGCATGGCCAGCAAGCGCTACCTCAACGCCACCGACATGCTGGTGAGTGAGATAGGCTCTGCTCGGGGCTCTGGGACCTGCAGGCCCAGCTGCTCCCTGTTTGGTGTAGTTGGGATCCTTCCTGACTGGGCTGAGGGTTCAAATCTCCCGTCCTGAGCTCCTGTCCTTCGGGTTTATCTTCACCTGTTCGTGTCCTGACAGTCTCTGTGACCACCTCATCTGCACGCAGCATTTCCTGATACCTTACTTTAAAATTACTTTCCTGGCCACCTGCCTGTGTCATTTTCTTTCTTTGTGTCTCATCATGGATTTCAAACCCATTTTTATTACACAAGAACTGTCCCGTTTCTCTCCCGTTTCATCTCCTTCACAGTTTAGGTGTGTTTCACCCCTTGTTGCTTTGACAAGAGGACACAGTCTTAAACTCTTCTAGGAGAGGTTTAGGTTGGACTGTAGGAAGAATTTCTTCACAGGAAGGGTGATTAAACACTGGAATGGGCTGCCCAGGGAGGTGGTGGAGTCCCCATCCCTGGAGATGTCCAAGGATGCCCACTGGATGTGGCACTCAGTGACGAGGTGGGATCAGGCACAGGGTGGACTGGATGATCTTTGAGATCTTTTCCAACCTGAATCATTCTGTGATACTTTTATCAGGACTCTTCATCCTTTCTACTTATTTCCAGCTCTTTTTTTTACCTTTTTTTTTTCTCCTTCCCTTCAAGTGCTTTTTCTCTTCAGTTCCATCTCTTTTATGAGCTTTGCCTTTCAGTTCCAGTCTCGTGGTGGAATTTAAAGTTTCTTGGACTTTTCTAATAACAATCTTTCTCTTTCTCTGAACTTAACAAGCACAATTCCTCACCTTCTCCAGTCCTTCCTTTCCCGGAACTGCCTTCCAATAATTAAAAACTTGACAAGGGAGATGATTTTTCTCTGCTCAGTCAGTTCTGGGCTCTCCAGGACAGGAGAGAGGGAGTTCCTGGGAAAGATCAGAGCTGGTTAAGGAATATCCCAATCCATGGAGGGGCTGAGAGAGCAGGGGAAGGAAACCTCACCTCTTGTTTTTCTGTTCTCCTCTCATGCCACACCTGGTGCAGTCAAAGAATCATGGGATGGTTTGGGTGGGAAAGGCCCTTCAAGATCATCCCATTCCAGCCCCCAACACCTTCCACTGTCCCAGCTCGCTCCAAGCCCCGTCCAGCCTGTCCTTAAACACTTCCAGGGATGGGAAAATCAGAGTGTGGTGTCTGCTTGACATTTCCAGTTAGGAGAGAGAAAGAAGGAGGTGTAAATTAATGTCCTTCCCCACAGGGGAAAACCACGATGTTCAGTGTAAACATCAGCATTAATTGAAATATTGGGGCTTCCTTTTACTGCCGGACTTGCCAGTTTGCTCAGGCTGGGTTTGTTGTTTTGGGGTGCTTTATTTTCCTTTTTTAGATATTTACTTTTCAGAAGGAAATCCCAGAAAAACAATCAATTTCCTATTTGAAAAGTGTGGCAGGAAGTGTAAGAAGAAGAAGAAACATAACGAGATTTAGGATTTATCTTATAATGTGGTTTTTCACATGTCTATTTGATATCTTATTGTGCAATATTTTGTATTTTTTTTATATACATAATTTATGTACATACAGATATTTGTATGTGGGTGAGACAGAGACAGTATAGCCCTCTCTGATAAACAGATTTCTGCAGTATATTGTGCTGTCCCGTGGTGTTTGTTTGGGTCTTTTTTGTTTCAAGAATGGAGAGTATTTCCTAATAAATCAAATAATAATGATATAAAGAGCAGCTGTTAGTTCATGGGGGGTTTTTTAATATATCAGGGAGTGCAAGGAGAGCTCAAGTGGAACCTGAACACTCTATTTCAGCCTCTCATTGACACTTGCAGTTCTCACTCGAGGACAAATGTACCTGTCTAAAAACCCAATAATTCCCCTGCGTTTGGAGCCCTTTGCTGGCCAAAATCCCCCTGCAGGCTCCCTGGCTTTTGCCATCTCCTGTTCCCCCAGCTCTGCAGGGCTGGGATGTTGTGATCACTGCCTGGCTGCAGGATAATTCCTTTCCCCTCGGATATGAGGTGAACATTACGTAAAATCATTGCTGAGCCGTCGGGCAGGCAGAGCGTCCTTTGGTTCCACTCCTCAGGGTAAACACATGCTTGGGAAAAGCCCAGGGCGATCTGACAAGGAGTTTTTTTATCCCTCACGTTGGAATGGGAGCCCTGATTAATGCTGGCCCTGTATCCTTGTTGGAATGAGACCTCTGCAGCCCCGCTAGAGGTGGATGCAAGAGCTGTCACAGCATCGTTTCTGCTGCTGCATCCCGGGCCTGCAGCCCGCTCTTTGTATTCCACTCACATTAATTGAAGTAATTCCGCCACTGAAGCGTGTTCCGAGCCCCCCTGCATTTAAATTGGAATTTTAATTCCCTTATTGTTTGGAAAAGGAGGCTGGAGATGGCTTGTTACAGGTTTCATTATCACTCAGAACTCTCCAGCTGCCGGTTCTCGTGTGCAGTGACTGAGTAATGCGGGGAAGGGCTGTTAATAAAAGACTGGCAGCTTCTCCCAGTCGTACAAACACAATGCAGAGGTAGTTTGTGACAGCTTACATTTGTATGAAGTTAAAAATTTTAAGTGACAGCTCTTTTTTTTATTTTTTATTTTATTTTTTTCCTGGTTCTGCACCCACCCAGAGCAGCACAGATTTCAGATTTCAGGTGTGACGTTCTGCGCTCCCGCAGCATCCTGAGGAGGATCAGCTTTGCTGTCCTACAGTTGCACCTCACAGCTTGCCTAAAAGAACCTCATTCCAGCACCCTCTGAGCTGTGAAGCTTTGGAGGGATTGGGGTTGCCTGGCCCAGATCAAACTCCCTTTTGAGGTGGGATGTGGGTTTAGTTGTTTTCGGTTTCTTGACGTGGCTTTTTTGTGCGTTTTCCCGAGGTGGATCCTTCCCAGGCTCAGGTGCTGACAGAAATGTTCATTTTTATGTGGCAGTTGGGAGCACAGGCACCCGTTTGTGTGTGTTTTCTGCTTAATATAAAACATAAAAAGGGGCTCAGGGGGGACCTTCTGACTCTTTCCAACTCACCTGGTGGAGCCAGGGTGGGACGTCGGGCTCTGCTCCCAGGGAACAAGGGACAGAATGAGAGGAAATGGCCTCAAGTTGTGCCAGGGGAGGTTTCAATTGGATATTAGGGAAAATTTCTTTGTGGAAATACCTGTCCAGCCCTGGCACAGCTGCCCAGGGCAGGGGTGGAGTCCCCATCCCAGGAGGGATTTCAAATCCCTGTGGATGTGGCACTTGGGGACGTGGGGCAGTGGTGGCCTTGGCAGTGCTGGGGAATGACTGGACTTGATCTTAGAGGGCTTATCCAAAGGCAGAACTCAATATTTGCCATTTGTTTATACAATCTAGGAGATAAAATGCTAAAGCCAGTTGAAGAACCATTGTTGAATCAAGTAATTAAAGGTCGCATCATAATACGATTAAATAAAAACTCTTCAGGCCACTTCCTTTGCACGTCCTGACTTTTATGTGTCCAGCTTTGCAATTCTAATGAACTAAAACCACTTTCCTAAAATATATCAAGGTGATTTATAAAAAAAAAATAATCTTTTAATTCTGATAGACCATGAGACACTTACTCTGAACTTGATTTATTAGTACGGGTCCTTTGAGCTGGGACTGTGTCAGGTGAGAGAACACCATGAAACTGCAGAAATAAATTCATAGGATAGGAAGGGGGGAGTCAGGATTTTTTGTTGTTGTCGGGACAACAAGAAGGATTCCAGGGGTTGAACTGGATGACCTTTCAGGTCCCTTCCATCCCAAACCATTCCACAGTCCCCCTCAGTAACGGTGTTCCCCAAACCTTCCGTGGCACTCCATGTTCATCCTCTGTGAGGGCATTTGGAGCCATTGACATCTTCCTGGAGAACAGGGGCTGTTTGTAGCCCTGGGCACTGCTGAGTGTTCATTTTTATTACCTGACTGGAGCTGCTACCTGTGGCTTTCCTCGGGATACACCGAGCAGAGGCTTTCAATTAACAGTCCCGTGTAGTGAGCAGGCATTTGACACCACAAGTAGCCCGGAATAATGAAATAAATAAAAACAGCAGTGCAGTTCCTGGTCTGCATTTTATTTACTTCTCTGCCTTTCAGTCAGAACAAGGAAAATCAATAAAAAAACAGCCTTTCATTTTGTTTCTGCGTTCCTGACCGCAGCCCTGGGATTCAGGTGCTGCCCTGCAACGGGTTCATATTTTGGGATTAATGCTGAAAGTGGAGAGAACAGACTTTTGGTTTGGGATTGTTTAGGAGTACCTTTAATGGCATCCACAGGATGGCCTGAAGCTGTGGCAGGGGAGGTTTAGGCTGGATTTTAGGGAAAGGTTCTTCATCCAGAGTGTTGCCAAGCACTGCCCGGGCTCCCCAGGGCAGTGGGCACTTCCCAAGGCTGCCAGAGCTCCAGGAAGGTTTGGACAACACCCTCAAGGACAGGGTGGGATTGTTGAGGTGATTGTGCAGGGCCAGGAGCTGGACTTGGATGATCCTGGTGGGTCCCTCCAACTCAGGGCATTCCATGATTCCAATTAAGTTTGTTAGAATACTTCCAACTTCTTTTAGAAGAATTGATTCTGCGTGTTCTTCGAAGATATTTCACCTCCTTCCCGTAGCTTTGTTCTTTCCTTCTCTCAATTCTGCTTTGATTATTTTTTATAATCAACCTCCTAGACCAGTTTTAAACACATTAAACGTGGAGTTTTTTTTTTTTTTGTCCCCTTTGAAACATCCCATCGTGGGTTTTTTTTCCCCCTCCCCCAGGTTGTACTTACCAATAAGTTGATCTCATTCTTTTTTATCCCCTAATTTGCATGATCTGAGCAGTCTGTTCATTAAGCTGTCGGTGCCTGATGCTCCTCATTTGCATTGCCACGTGCTTGACCCCAGCTCCTCGTTAATGCACCGACAAGCAGAGAGATCTCTCCAGAGCGTTCTGGGGGGCTCTTGGCTCTGCTCACGACAGCCACTCATT